GGGGAAGGTAAAGAGGAGAAGATACTGACCATAAGTCGATAAATGTTGATCAAGGTGATGGTTTGGTGGTACATTACTATACTACCAGGTTCTCTGTACTTCTACATGTGCTTAAAATGCTCCATAATATAAAGCATATAGATGGTACAGATAAATGACAGACAGACAGATAGGTAAATAGATGATAGAAACAGATTGATTCACAGATTCATCAGCAGCTTCCCTATATGATTCATTAGTATGGATTTTACCCTTCTGGGTAAACTAATGGCCAATTCCTGTGCAAATTTTGAACGACAGGCTTGTTGAAAATTTCACAACAACCTTCTGAGTTTTTCTTTCTGGAACACAGGCTAAGGCACTGGCCACAGACTACACCCAAAGGGCCCAGGAAATTGCTCATTCATGCTGGAACTTTCTCTCCTTTTCCATCTTCTACCTGGAAACTCTGCAACTCTGCATGGTTGGCTAGCACGAGGGAGTTTGTCTGTCTAGGTTTCCAGGGATAGTCTGCCCCTCTAAGATGACGTCCCCAAGTATGAGAGAGAATGGTGGCGGAGACAAAGCTCAGCTAATAAGAGCCTAGAAGCTAGTAGTGGCATTTTTAAAGTTCTTACAACTCTCAAGAGTTCTGGATTTAAAATCGAAAGAGCAAGGTCTAGTAACTTACCTGCTAGAGCACAGATACAAACCCAACATTCAGCTGACGCCTATTCAAGGGTGGTGATGCCTTTTCTGAAGCGGGAGATCCCCCACCCACACCCATCAGCGCCCAGATACTGGGGATAACTGGTCAAGGTAAGAATGACCCAAGACCCTCCCCCAGGTCAGGGGAGTGGGAAGGAAACCCTGCCCAAGTCTCTTTAGATTGTCATCCTTGTACTTGTTCTTACAAGGTTACAAGCTGGATCTTGTCTTCCGCCAGCCATTCTTTGGTCCTGTTGGTTTGGCATCAGGAGAGTCATCCCTCCTCCTGGAGACATGAACTCTCCCCTTCACAGACATCAGGGAGGGTCTGCTTTTAGTTCACTGTGGAAAGATGGTCTCAAAGTCAGAGAGCACTGGGCGACTCAATGTGGAAAGGGAAGCAGAATAGTATTTTTCATTCTGACTTTAAAGCTTAAAGAGCCTCATGTTAATAAATGACTGGACCAAAGCTGGACAGGGAGAGAGGCTCAGATCTGATCCACTCTGAAAGGCACCATGATCCCTGTCAAAACTCCTTATCTTACTGTGACAAATCGGCCCTGGGCTTGTTTCCATCCCTTGATAATACTTTCACACTCCAAACTCCAGTGATTAGGATTCCCACTGCGGGTCACAGAATCACCAGGTTGCTTGGTGACTGTTAATCCCTGCCATGTCCTGGACAACCTGTTCTGTGTCTCTCGTCTCCTCTCCTCCTCTTACCCTTCAATGCTCTCTTCACCATGAGGCTTCCTTACCACCCTGCACCTCCCCACTGACGCTACTGAGAAGCAGGGTTCACTGAGCCCACTCACAGTCTAGTCCAGTTGGCTCCCAAGGGTTGCTGGCTGCAGTCCCCGGCTCTCAAGGGTGAGCTCAAGCACGCCCGCAGGCTGTGTGCTGCTCAATAATACCCAGCGAACTCCTTGTCCCATGCCCATGTGCCAGAGGAACAAAAGGAAACTGTTCAAAAGAGACAAGTGGCCAAAGAAACGAGTCTAATCCTGCCAAAATATCTTTAGAATAAAGTGCAAGCAAAATCTGTAAAAACAATGAGGTTCTACCTATCTAAACCTGCACCTAACCTCTATCTCTGCATATTCTTCCCAAGTCTTTAGCATCTGAATCCACAATAGAACCAGCCAGACTATAAAAGACATAGATCTGAACGGGGTACCAATTTCTCCCTTCTTCCTTCGTGTTTCCACAAAAGAGGAAGGGGAGGCTGGAGAGGATCCTCACTGCCACCTGACTCCCAGCCCTTGGCCAGGGCTCTCTCCCTGCCCCGAGAGACTCTCACAAGTGCAACGTGTGCACTGTGCAGTGGGCTCTCAACAGGAGCTGGTTCTCAGTACCTCCAGCTTCCCAGTGCTTAATAGCACTGTTGAATTTCCAAAGCCCAGGTCTCTATGGAAAGGCTGTCTCATTATTACCTTCTCTTCTGATCCAGAGATCAACAGTCTGGCCACCAGCAGAAGTTAACCAGAAACTCGGCCCTTTCTCCAGGTTGCTCAGGATGGTTGTGTGGTTCCCACAGGGCCAGAGGGCTGCCCACTCTCCTAATGCAGAGAACAAGCTACTCATGTGTCCAGAGGGAGGCCACTTGCAGGCTCCCCAGCCCCTTTAGGTTGATCAGGAATTAAATTCTTCCTTTCCTGATTAGGGCTTAGGAAGTAGGGCAGTAAGCCCCTTCACAAGTTATGGAAAGCAGACAGCTCCCATGGCTAGTTAAGCTAGCGTTGGCATCTGGACACACATGCATTATCTTCCTCTTCCTAAAACTACCGTAAGGAGGCCACAAAGTCATCGCAAAATGAACTTACATCCTTGGCCATGGTTTAGTCACTGGTCTCCAAGGAAATTAAAGGGTGAGGGTGAGCTAATTAATGGGTCTGTCTTACCTCCAAGTATTTGGCAAGGCTCCACCTACTGGCATTTAATATTAACCCATTAATAACATATTCTCAAAAGATTGAGAATTAGGGAACAGAAAGCTTGGCACATTTCTGGAAAATTTGCAAACACTGAACAGTGTGTGTGCAGTGTGTATGAGTATGTGTGCAGCTGTGTGTGTTTCCAGAGTCTGGGCAGGTCCCCAGCTTTAGGGTGCTGTAGTTAGAGATACAGAGAACGGAGCCCTCTACCCAGTCCTGTTTTCGCTTAACATCTGCAAAAGGGCAATGATACCTTGGCTGTAAAACAACTGCTAGAGATAATGATATCAACATCACCTGCAAAATGAAAGAGCAGTTTTATTTCTGGTTTTAACTGCAGACAAGTACAGAATATTGGGTGTAAGTAAGGAGCAACATGGCCCTGAAGAAAAAAAGACAAAACTCCGCCCTCCTGGAGCCTGTACTGTCCCACTAGGGTCTTGAACCTCCTGGGCAGCTAGCACCACTATTCTATCACCCGGGTGTCCTTTCTGAGGTCCCCTTAGGTGCCTGCAGGCAGCCTCTCACCTACCTATTTCCATCTACCAAGGCTGAGTCACTAGGAAAATAGAAATGATTTTCCCTGCTGTGAACCCTCATGTCCACCCCATACCCTTGCCCCAAATCTGTCCTAGTCTGCAAACCCTCAAACAGCAGTACACTTAACAGGGGTGACCTGCAGACCACTGTGCTGCCCAGGTCAGGGAAGCACCTGAACCAGCTACAGGGGCGCTCAGGAAAAACTGGAAGGCAGGCACGGAGGCTGGGTGGGTTCCTTTCCCTGACAGCCACCAGTCCTTCTTGGCCTGGACCCTCCCACTGGCCTTGCTAGGCTTCAACCCTCCCCAGACTTATCTCGCCCATAAAACAGGCATGCGCCCTCCTGTCCTGCCCAGCCCAAGTTCAAACGAGGGTAGCATTCATTACAAATGTCTTTTATCCCCGGCCAAATCAATGTTTCTTTACCGGGCTAGTTTCTTGTCCCAACCCACTCCCCTCGCCTGGTTCAAGGGCCCATCAGTTCCAGGGATTAGAGCCTAAGCAGAGGCCCTCCAGGGCGGCTCCTTTAGGACCAAAAGCCGGCCTGAGCCCCTGCTTCCCCACGCACCCACGCCCACTAATAAACGTCAGCCTTATCTCCAAACCCGATCGTCCCCCCAAGCACAAAATAACAGAGCCCTCTATGGGGCTCTATCATCTTGCCCACCTCATTCTGAATGGCTTTTAAACCCCTGAGATAAAGATAAGAGAGGACTGTGTATGTTTTCTACACAAATGGTGGAAAGTAATAAACATCAAAGATGAGCTCCTAGTCCTCGCGGCCCCGTGGCACATTTCAACAAAGGCAGGAAAAAGGAGGAAACGTCAGCGTGGCAGGCAGGGACTGGAAGTGCGCCTTCCCAGGGCCCGGGCGCTCGGGCACTGAGGCTGACAGTGCTGCAGCGGGAAAGGAGTGCCCTTTCTGGACTGTCCCACACCAGTGGCACCGAAGCTTCAGCACAAGGGCAAAAGGAGGCGGCACGGAGCCCGAGGGCCTGGCCTGGCACAGGCTCCCGGGCGCTGCGGTGTGGGGTCAGCTGCCACGAGGTACGGATACACGCAGAGCCTTGCACCCGCTCGGACACGCCGCCCCGGAGCAGGTTGTCAAGCTGCCCTTCCTCAGGAGCCTCCAGGTAAAGCGACACAAAAGAAAAGTGAAAGTCTGAAGCTTCGAAGCCAGAGTTAAGGTCATCCCAAAAGGCGCCGACCATTTCAGGTCCTTTTAACTCCTTAGAAAAGGAACAAGGAAAGGAGAGTTCTCCAAAGGGAGTCCAGGAAGGGGCACGGCCCGTGGCTCCTGAGAAAGCTCCCTGCGCCGTGTGTGTTGGGCGACGTCTGCTGCTCGGCACCTCGGCACTGACTAGGTGAGGGGTGAGGCTCGGCTCCCGCCGCGGCCCCCGCCGAGCCAGGTTACCTGCTCCCCGCCCCCGGCGTGCCCCTTCCGGGGTGCCCGGGGAGCCAGCCCCGCACGCGCACGCGCCCGGTCCTCTGGAGACCTCCGGACGCAGGGTCCCCCTCCGGCGAGGCCGGGCGCTCACACCTGTGTGGGGCGCGGCGACGGGGCCGCACACGTGCGCGCATGCACACGCACGCTCACACGCGCACAGCAGCCGCGCGCACGGCCCCCATTGGCTGCAGACGGAGGGCGGGGCCGGCGGGACCCAAAACAAACAACCTGCGCCCGGCGACTCCCGGGCCGCGCCGCCGCATGGCCTCGGCCTGTGCGCGCCCGCGGGGAGCCGCGGCCACCTGGGCCACCGCGCTCCCCACCCCCCGCCGGCGGCGCCCAGGCCCCGCCCCGCGGAGCCGCCGCAGGGTTATATTGGGCCGGCGAAGGCGGCGGCGAGACTCAGTTGCGGCCGGCCGCGCGGACATGCAGCCCCGGAGGCCGGGGGCGGGAAGGTGGCTGCGGGCGCGGCGGCCTCGAGGACTGGGCTCCACGCGCGCCAGAGGCTGAAGGCGCCGGCTCCTCCCCCAGGGCGGCGCGGGGACGCCGGCCCGAGCCCCGCATCCCGGTGGAGGCCTCCTCCCGGACCCCACGGACGGCATAGGCACAGGCGGCATCCTCCCAGGAAGGAACTGGGTAGACCCGCAAGCCGCGACGCCCTCGCCCGCGCCTGTCACCCTCGCACCGAAGGCAGCACGCACCTGGGTCCTCCTTCCCCGCCCTCTTAACCCACCCAGCCCTCGCGAGCCCTCCCCAAAAGGATCCAGCGAAAGCGGATTCTGCCCTGGAAGGGACTCTCCGAAGGCGAGTCCGCAGGGCAGAGAGGCCCCGACGCGTGGCCCCGAGATCGACACCCCAGCGGCGGCTTCGGAAGACCGCGCGTAGGAGGAAAGGACGGCGCCGAGCGGGGACCGCGCGCGGGTATGAAGCTGGAGGTGTTCGCACCCCGCGCGACCCCCGGGGACAAGCCAGGCAGTGACCTGGAGGGCGCCGGTGGCAGCGAAGCTCCGTCTCCGCTGTCAGCGACTGGCGACGACTCCCTGGGCTCGGACGGGGACTGCACAGCCAACAGCCCGGCGGCGGGCGGAGGCGCCGGGGACCCGGCCGGCGGAGGCGGTAGCGAACAGAGCACGGGCAGAGGACCTGGCGCCCGAGACGAGGCTCCAGCGGCGGCGGACGAAGCGGCGGCTGGCGCGGCGGGGCCGGGCGCTGGAGGCGGCGAGGGCGCGCGCGGCAAGCCGTACACGCGGCGCCCCAAGCCCCCCTACTCGTACATCGCGCTCATCGCTATGGCCATCCGTGACTCGGCAGGCGGGCGCCTGACGCTGGCCGAGATCAACGAGTACCTCATGGGCAAGTTCCCCTTCTTCCGCGGCAGCTACACGGGTTGGCGCAACTCGGTGCGCCACAACCTCTCGCTCAACGACTGCTTCGTCAAGGTGCTGCGCGACCCCTCGCGGCCCTGGGGCAAGGACAATTACTGGATGCTCAACCCCAACAGCGAGTACACCTTTGCCGACGGGGTCTTCCGCCGCCGCCGCAAGCGCCTCGGCCACAGGGCGGCGGCCCCCGCGCCCGAGCTACGGCCCGAGGACGCCCTGGTGCGCCCCTCGGCGGGGCCCGCGCCCGCCGCCCGCGCCTCGCCCCCCGCGCGCTCTCCCGCCCGCCCGGAGGGCCGCGTCAGCCCCGCGGGCAAGTTCTCCAGCTCCTTCGCCATCGACAGCATTCTCAGCAAGCCTTTCCGCAGCCGCCGAGATAGGGACGCGGGTGCCGGGATCTCAGGGGTGCAGCTGCCTTGGAGAGCCGCGCCCTGCCCGCCGCTGCCCGCGTACCCCTCGCTGCTCCCTGCGGCGCCCGGCGGGGCCCTGCTGCCTCTGTGCGCGTACGGAACGGGCGAGACGACGCTGCTAGGCGCGCGCGGGGCCGAGGCACAGCCCGCAGCTCCCCCGGCCGCGCCGCACCTCCTCCTGACGCCCCTATCTATCGCGGCCCCAGCTAAGGCGTTCCGGGGCGCAGGGGCTAGCGGCGGCGCGCACCTGTACTGCCCCCTGCGGCTGCCCGAGGCCCTGCAGGTGGCCTCGGCCTGCGGTCCCGGCCCCCATCTGCCCTACCCGGTAGAGACGCTTCTAGCCTGAGCCGCGCAGCTGAGCGCAGCGGGGGTGGGCGCCACCAGGGAAAGGGGAGCCAGGATCGAGCGGTGCACTTTCTACCCAGAGGAAAAGACTGTGTAAAAATCTCCGTCAGACGTGCCTTAAAGCTAAGCATTTTGACAGAAGTGTTTTAACTTAGTCCAAAATATTTCCTTTGTCTTTTATAACCTTACAGAGGACCAAAGCAGTTCTTAATTGCTTTAATATCTTGGCTAAGCCTGTCCTCTCTCGTAAAAACTTTTCCTCTCCCTTATTACCCAGGCTGCCTGTAATTCCTATTTTTATTGCACCTTCCATTGATTTATCCCTCCACCCCCAGAAAAAGGGAACATCAGGGAACCATTCCATAGGGCAAATGATACGACTACTGTTTTGGGGTCCCCAGGATCCCGCGAGTGTACGTGTGTGGCATTCACAAGGGTGACTGTCCGAGGAGTCAGAGGATCTGCACCGACCAATGCTTCACTGTGCCAAACGAGGGAGAGAAAATGTTGGCGTTTTTTAATTATTTATATATTTTTGAAATCTGATTTGAAAATGTTGCAGGCAACGGCTACAGCTTTATTAGTGTGGTCTCCTCGGGTCAAGCAGTTTGTTTAAAGGAAAAGCGGACACGTTTGTAGACTATCAGGACCACTGCTACTCGAAAGCAAGTGTGATTTTTATTTTTAATATTATTTTATTTGTGTCTGTGTACATATTCATGTATAAATTTTATGAAAGCCAAGCATAGTGCTTATTTTTTAATAAAACTCACAGTTGACTTACATACTTCATGGTGATGAGTTGGGGACAGAATTTTGGGGTTTTTTTTTACCCCCAGTGCCCCCAAAATGGATTCAGGTTTAAGTCCAAAGAAACTTCAGTCTGGGATCAAAATCTTTTTGGGAATAATTAAGGCAGAAGCAGCCTGCAGCCTTCCTGACCAAACATCAATGCACATCTTTTTGGGGCGGACCTTCTATTAATAAGGCTTCTTAGAGCCAAAACCAGTTACCCTGCAAGCCCCGCTGAGAAGTCCCAGGACAGCGGGTGTCTCCACTCTTTCCCCAGGGAAGCTTTCAGCTGGGAGACCGAGCCCTTGAGGCACTTAGAGGGATGCTCACATTTCCAAGCAAATTGGGTCCAATCTGGTCCGGGAAGCTAGCAAGGTCTTGGCAGGAGACTACCTTACCAGCGTAAGAGAGGAGGTGTCCGGGCAGTGAAAAGAATAGCTGGAGTTGTCAGTGTTTGCCAGAAGTGTCCACCTTTATGGGATTACAGAAGTTCATTTGGCCACTTGTTTGTTAGTAAGTTCAAAGGCAACGGGACTCCTACAATATCTAGGTAAATTGCTAAAAGGGGAATGGAAATGGTAAAGAATTCAGAGGCTGGAACCGCCTCTCTGGAAGGGCTGCCACGGCTTTCCTACCCAGCAGGGAATCTTTGGTGGGTCTCATCTGATCCCACCGGGAAGGGGGTATGGAATCCGAGTTCAAGGAGGTGGGGCTTATTCAGGTTGCCCCTTTTACCAGGAATGGAAGGAAAAAACCCATGCTTAAGTCCAGCTAACAAGTCTTGACTGATTTCGGTTATAGCTACTTAGTAGTCATAAAGAGTGATAATAACAGGGTTGAATTATGACAAAAGGTAGACATTTGCACCCACGAGGCTGATAATTAGACCGGAAAATAAAACTCTAATAGACCAGCAACAGAGAAAGGGGGGAACAGGTTCATTGGGTGGAGATCCCAGTGCTCAACTTGGCCTCCCTCTGGGGAAGTCCAGGACTAGGGGAAGCCCGACCCTCACCCTCACCCCTGGGCTGTCCCATTGTCAACTGCAAGGGCACCAGCAAGGAGCTGCGTGCTGCTAGGGATTTAAATCGATGCACGCTGACACTTGAAGGTAGTCCTGCAAATGGAGCTTTAAAATCACTGCTATATTCTGAACTCAGAACCCTTAAATCTCCCGGCTTGACTAAAATCACTGCTAATTTACTTATGTTAAAGAACACAGAAACAGCAATGGAAAAGAAAAAGTGTTTTAAAAATCACAAAATATTTTTAAATGAAAATCACAACAGTTTTCACCTCCCTTCCAAAAACAATCCTTTTTGATAAACACCCCAAAGGACCACGGGCCCCCTGTTGCCATGGGCTCCCTTCTCTGGCTTCTGGGGCGCTGTCAGGCACCTGAGCTCCAAACTCCTCCCCCACGACCTGAGGACACCTCTAGCCCTGCACTGTTGGGGCCACAGGCTATGGCCAAAAAGGCAGCTTACAATTCCTCAAGGAATCTTGTGTTTCGAGAGCACTTTGAGGGGGCAGTGCTGGAGTCTCTGGATTCATAGGAACTACAGACCCGGCTTTAGAGGGTTACACTGAAAGGGGACATGGCCTCGGGTCACAGCTGGGCAATGCGATCTCCATAGCCAGACTGGGTCTCTCACCTGTGACTCCTTTGCCAGATGTAGGGCCCCCCACTTCCCCACCACTGGCCCCCAGCCCCTGTGCACCTCTCCACCACAGGGGCTCCACAGACACCTGAGCCAACTGTGGGTGAGGGTCTACCTGGCTCAGGAACCGGGAACTGCCCTTGACACCTGCCCAGTGTTAGGGCTGTGCGGCAGGCTCAGCCAGTTTGCAGAAGACCCCTTCACTCCTCCCACCAGCGACCACCTTTGGAGTAGGAGTTCTGCAGCCGCCAGTCCCAGACCCTTGGAAAAAACTTCCTAGGTCCCACAGAGCAGGGGATGGAGAGAAAGAAGGGTGACTTCAAATAGGCCCTCCGAGGCTGCAAACTCAGGGTTGATGAGTCTCCTGGGGCTGCAGTGCTGGGGGGAGAAAGGGAAGCAGGGGTGGGAGGGATGAAGGGGCCTGGAGGTGGGGGGACTCCAGCCAGGTCCCTTGACCTGGACAAGGGATCTAACCAAGGCCCCTTCTAGAACTCATTCTCAAGGGGAAAACAAAAACAGCAGACAAAGACGGACTGTCCTGGAGGAGGGGGATGTCCCCAAGGAGGACCACCCTGGTCACTTGAGTCTGTCACAGACTCGAAGGCAGTCAGGTCACCTGAGGGGCCTCAACTTCATCCACAAGAAACCAGGGTCCACAGAGTCCTTCTCCTCATTGAGCAGGGTCTGGAGAATCCAAACCCAAATGCACTTTAGCGGAACTTAGCTGAACTCCCTAGATAATCATCTTGATTCACACAGATGGCAAGGCTGGGCAGATTTCCCAAAGCAGCCCCAATGGCTTTTTTGATTACTAAGAATGGGTTCCCCACCAGGATCCAGAAATGCCCCTTTCTCGAGATGGCTGCGACCCTGCCTGCCTGGGAGACCCGGAGGTAGGTGGCTCAGTCCCAGCCTGGATATTCCGCAGGAGCCAGGCACTCAGGGCATCGATTCTGTCCTGGGGGAGGAGGCCTCTGGGAATGGGTGTGACCAGCAGCTCTTACTGGAGCTCTGAGAGGACAAGCAGAGACAAGTGAGCCCTCTTGGCAAAGCTGCTCCTGTCTTCCCACCCAGCCCCAAATGACGAAAATGACCTCTTTTCTACGTTAAAGAGAAAGTAGAATTTATAGTAATTCATGTTCCATTTTTAGTTTAAAAGAAAACCAACTCAGTGTACTCACATGACTGGCCTCTACTTAGGTGTCAGGGGACCGTGCTGGCATCTGACATACAAGGAGTTTGTGCCTCTGTGTGACTTTTTTTTTAATTCTTTAGACTACAGTAATTGAGTTCTGCTTCAGTTCTAGAAATTGGACCCCATAGAGCCCTGTAATAAGTATTTTCTGCTTTCCAACACCACAGATAGTTCTTTTTTAAGTAACAAGCTTTATAGTTTTCTAATGAGACTGTTAAACTTTTGTTATGCTTTTAACAACATAATTTGTTAATTCTTAATGTTGTCAACAAATGGCCCTAATAAACATGTTCCAGGAAGATCATGATCAAAAACATAAAAAGGCAACTTCCCTCAGATCCGAGGACCTCTTTCAAACTGGCCACGCTCCAGCCATCCCGAAGTGCTGGTGATTGAGCCTCGGTCTGCCGTATCTGGTCGGCATTATTAAGATGGATGAGTGATTAGAAGCAAATGTCATTCCTGTCATTTGCCAACTTACACACGGCCTGGAGAGAGAACTGTATCGACCTTCGTTTTGGTGAACCACAGCCAAACATAAACATTCGCCTAACACCACGTTCCCCCACCATTCCTGGACCTCGCTGCTGCTCTCTTCAGGGACTGTTTAACTCTGAGGACTTGCAGTTACTGAGCCTTTTTATGACATCTGTTTGAAGCTCTGAATAATATACGGATACAGCGTCTTTGACATGTATTTGTTGTGTCTGATTGCCAATTTCCAACCCCTTGGGAAGAGGCAGAAAAATGCCGCGGGACCCCTGGCTGTCTCCGCCCACTGTCCTTAACTGTCTGCTAAGAATCAGCATCACAAAGCAGTCATTCAGGAGAGAGCTGGGCGCATCCAGGCTCTGCAGGGGTGGGTCTGGGTTCCAGCTGGCCTCACCCAGCTGGACGGCCTCAGTGGGGTCACAGTTAGCCTGGATCACATCTCAGAGCCCTTTCCTCACCCTTCTCATCTGTGAAAACTCTCCGGTAACCTCAAAGATGACATGCTGGTAGGCTTTTCCCCTCTACTCGGACAGTTTGGGATCCAGCATGTATTTCATTTCAGCATTCATCAACATGGCTAAAGTTCTCACAGACAGCAGCAGAATATGTGGAGACATCAGCGGGCCACAGACATAGACCACGAGTCCTTCTCCTGAGTCACAGCTGTTTTCTAGTAGTGCTTCCTCCCAGCTTTCCTTAAATTTATCTCAAAACCCCAGCTCTTGGGATTAAAACACCAGATGCTTCTTTCACTGGCAGGAGACACAGACTAAGACTTGGGCTATTTTTAAGAGATTTCATCATACACAAAGAGTTTAGGGCTGCTTTCCTCGCTCACATGGTGGCTGCCAGGCCAACAGCTCAGATCCTGGGCTGAGAAGATAAATCAGTCTTCATTTACTTATGAGGCCGTTAGTTAGTGTGGTAGGATGATTCTGGGACTCAAGGGCCAAAGAGAAGTTGGGTTCATTTGTTCCTGATGCCCAACAGAAAAGGTGTCAGATTCTGCTGGGGGGGGGGGGGAGGCTGAGCTCCCCTGGCCTCCTGGGAAGTCTTTCCCATCCATCAGCACCACCACCAAGCAGGGCGTTCACACCTTCATCCCCTGGAAAACCCATCCTACTGCTCTGGTGGATCACTCCTCGGGACAGTCTCAGTGCCCAGATGGAGATGGAGGGTGACATGAACACAGACCTCAGGGCAAGTGTGGAGCAGAAGTTGACTCACTGAATGTACCACCTCACCCCCACCCTCCATCCCCTACCTCCCCACCCCTCCAGCTCCCACCCCCCCAACCCTGCTCTGGGGGACAGACACCTCAGCCTACTGCTCAGCAGGGCAAACGGTACTGGGTGACATGGCGCTCTCTGCAGCACCTCATCAGGATTAAGTGCACAGCGACGCAGGCTGAGGAAAACACCCATGTCCATGACTCTGAGAAAGGAAGAGGAACAGAAATCACATCACTGCTTGCCAGGGCGAGGATGGGGGACTGTAAAAGGCAAATGGGAAACTGAGGACAGGGATGGAAAGACCCACCCGCTGAGATGGTGCTCTCATAGCTAGCTGTGTGTGCTTGTCAGAACTTAGTACTGCACACTGCATGTGGTAGATAAATTATACTTTGATATAACCCTGACTCGACCAGCTCACTCTTATTGGGGATGAACACTGACACAGGATTGCCCAAACCTTGGGTGTTTCCCAACAACCAACTAAATTACAGGAAATAAAGTGTGAAGTCTCAACATACGGGAACTAGTTAGGGAGGTGGTTTTGCAGAAAGATAAATTTCCCAGGACACAGTTCTGGTGCCCACTGCCCTTCACAGAACGGCAAGCACTGTCCGCTTCCTGCTGTATCAGCTGAGAGGAGACTGGAGAGGAGACTGGAGACTGGAGACTCTGAGGTCCTTGCTGTCCAGTCTCTCCCCTACTTCCTCACTCTGCTCTTTGGGCGGGCTGACAACTGCCACCTGTGGGAGGGAGCAGCACTTCTGTGGCCTCCCCAGCTTCCCAAAGCCTAGATCCTTTCAAGGCAGTACCTGCTGCTGTGAGATACTGCTATGAACAGCATCCAGGCGTGTGGAGGAAACAGATTAAGCTAAAAGGCATGTGAAAGAAAGAGACTAAACTAGCAGAACTTTAGGCACCCTCGCATGATCAGACACAAGCTCCCCACCCACACCAGTTTCCACAAAGCAGCCCCAGTAGGAAAGAGATCAAGTCAATGCAGGGCCCTCTGCTTCCTGACCCTCACGGCACCCCAATCACAAGTGCCAGAACGCTGGGGAGATATTGAGCAAAGCAGACACTTTTGACCCCTCACAGAAGTTACAGAGAATAATTACTAGTTCTTCTGTTTATTGGATGAATCCTTTTGACTAATAGCCCTGGGCTTCATTTATAAAAGTAATAAAAGACCTCATCGTGATCAAGCGCACAATCATGTGACACAGTCTAGATTTCGGCTGAAGCAAGTCTCCAAGGCCAAACCAGCCTCTCTTGAGATCCAAGAAGGACCAGGGCCTTGTCCTTTCTCCTCTGGTGCAAGGCTCCAGCATCTGCCTCAGAAATCCTGGTCGGCCTTGCTCAGGCTTTCCAGTGAGCCAGCTCTGCCGGCCGGCCAGCGGAGCTCCAGGCCAGAGGACCTCCGAAGCTGAAGTTTGCAAAGCACAACCTCAGCATGACGTATGAAAGAAAATCAATGTCTTGGTGGCCCGGTCCCCTCTCCCAGGTGGGTCCCTGTGATAAGCTGAAGTGCCTCAGTGGTTAGGTTGGGCCCTGAAACCCAACCTGGCCCAGTAGGGCTCTGTGTGAGTCACCGGAAATGAAGACTGCAGTATCTTTTAGTCACCTTTGATTCAGTAGGAGCAAGCGCCAGGCCCATGGCTGGTTGCTTGCACAGTGATTCATGGTGGAGCCAAAACGCTCTGCTGGATAAGACCTTGCCCCGAGTTCTCTGTCTGCTTCACTAGCCCGAGCCCTTACTGTCTGGCAACATCACCCTTTTGCTTGGCCTGCTGAGCTGTAAAACCTGCACACTGAATAGACCTGAGTTCTAAAAAGAAAACTTTGCAGGCAACCTCCTCCCTCACACCTAGTCTGGATAGCTCAGTCTCTGAACTCAGCACTTCCATCCAGAAACATAACCCTCAGGGTCCTCAACAGGTGAATAACCCAAAGCTCCTGCATTCAGCACCTCGCTGGCAGAGGGGTATTAGGCAGGAACTGAACACCCTGAGCCTCCTGAGCTCAGGGTGACTTCCCAGCTAATGTGAGGTCAAGCTCTGCCACCCACAGGCCACCACCAGTTGTCTTTCTTCTTGGTCACTTTTGTCGCTGGCTGTGAAATCACGTCACGGCACACTTGCATGGGGTTGCTTCTAAATTCCTTGGGGCCCTCATTTGCTCCTTCCTGCTGCAGCTTTTGATGCAAGTTAGAAGGCAGGGGCAGGACTGGCCAGAGTCTGCAGTTTGTCTTCGGAATATGGCTGCACCACAGTGGGGTGGTGTCTGACAGGAGACCAAGGACCACAGAGAGCTGGGACCTAGGAGAGGAGGAAAAGAGCTCCTGGCTGCACCTGGCTCCTGAGCCACCCCCCCTGCCCCCCTGCTCTGAGGTCCTTGCTATCCAGTCTCTCCCCTACTTCCTCAGTGTGCTCTTTGGGCGGGATGAAAATGTGTTGTTATCATCAAACATAGCCAGGAGCCAAAGCTGGGCTTTAGCACTAAGTCCGAGGCAATCTGGAGGATAAAGAGATCACTGGAATGGATGCTATCAGCTCCAAACCTGGCAAGGGACTGACCAGCCTCAAAGACAGCTCCCTTGAAGCGTTTTGCTGGAGAAGTCTGCTCCTACACCCCTAGGAAAGGTCCCCCTCTCTCCTGGAGGGCACCCAGTCCCTCAGGGGACTCCTGGAGACAGAATCTGCCAGGATGACGGTGGTGAGAGTGTGCCACTCCTCTTCCAGGGAAGCCCTATCAGACTGTCCCTCACCTTCCCTAGAGAGGGCCACCCTGGCAGGCAGCAGGCAGGCGGCAAGCAGTTATCTGGGTAGGGGATGTGGTAGGGGCAGGTAATTGGTCAGTCCAGCCTGCAAAATAAGGAGCAAGGGCCCGGGGGCAGCCCCAGCCCTGGGTAAGAACTGAGGCAGCCGCGCTTCCTGGCCAGGGAAGGAGACCAGAGATGGAGCCAGGACGGTCCCAGACTCCCTGCTTGGCATGTGGACCTGCCCACTCAGCCCTCTTTTGGTTGTGGTGCCACAAGCAAATGCTTCTCTCTGCCCCTTCCCATCACAACTGGGGTCTTCAAGCAGGACGCTGGCCTGGGACAAGGTCCCAGATTCATGGGACTTGCCAGTTTCCATGGTATCAGTATTCTTACAATGGCCAGTTCTAAGCCACCTACCGTCTAACACCGGACGCCCTGTCCCACACTTAACGACTAGAGTGACATCATGAGCTACGCTGTGTATCTGTTCCAGTGCACCACTGGGACGGGGGCACTGCCCTGGGGCCCGGGTGAGTCCCTGGCCTTAGCATCATTTGCTGTCACCTGGAAACCCACAACTCTGCAGGCAGGCAGCTTGCCCAGGTCTGAATCCCAGGTCGGGTAACATCTGCTGTGGCCTCAGGCATGTTCCTTAACCTCTCTGGGCCTGTGTCCTCACGCTTCTGTGGGGACAATAACAGTGATGACCTCACTGACAGGTTCCCTGCAGGGTGCCGAGGACAGTGCCTGGCATGCACTGGGCTATGATTATGAGCAGCTGATAAGCCAGGTCCCTGGGAGCATAGCAAAGCAGTCCTGTTTGTCCTGAAGACTGCACGGCTGTCACTCAAGTTCTGCCACATTCTTTCTGGAAGACAGGCACACAGAGACCGATGCACTGTGAATGAGGTGGGGGTTCTGATGCCACCAGAAATGAAGCCAAACTTCCAAACCTGGGGATGGTGGAAGGGGAGGTCTGCACAGCCCAGGCTTGAGTGCAAGGTTTGCCTTTTGCTCTTATTGTATACATGACCATGTACCTAGCATGTGATGATCAGGTTTAATGTTGTGAAGTGATTAAATCTAGCTAATTACCATGCCCATTGCCTTGCGTGCTTCTCACTTATGTGCGATGAGTACATTTAAGATCTACTCCCCGAGCATCTGTCAAGTATAAGAGGTGTTAACATCTACTGCTGGGGCCGGGGATATAGCTCAGTGGTACAAGTACCTGCCTGGCAGGTGCAAGGTTGTGAGTTCAATCCCCAGTACTAACAAAACAAAAATAAAACAAAACAAACATTTACTCCAGGTACTGCATTGTGCAGTGTGTGTCCAGAACTGCTCTCCAGCTGAAACTTTGCACCCCACCTACCAACATCCCCCCCAGCCTCTCACCCCCAATCCCTAGCCACCACCCTGCCACACTGCCTCTAAGTGAGTACCAATGTTTGTCTTTTGTGTCTGGCTTACTTTACTTATCCAAATATTCTTTTTAAAGGTTGTCTACTATTGCATTGCACATATATGCCCGCTTTCTTTCCCGGCTTCCCACTGAAGGGGCCCTGCATATCTTGACTATTGTGGGTGACAAATGCTGCAGGGAACGCAAGAGTATATAGCGTCTCTGCCACACACAGGTCACTTTCTTTAGAGGTCCACGCAGCAGTCGACTGCTGGGTCACACCATAGCTCTGTCCTTAATTCAGGAGACTCCCCATCCTTTCCATCGCGGCTGGGCCTGCTGGCTTCCGACCAGCAGTGGGCCAGAGCTCCCTCTCCTGCCCCTCTGCCAGTGTCCTGGCCTGCGGGCGTCACCATCCTACCAGGTGGGAGGAGATGACCCAGGGTGGCTTGACATGCGTCTCTCTGATGATTCGCCGTGCTGAGCGTCTTTCCCGATATCCGTGGGTCATCCTCAACTCTTCTGCTAAGACGTGTCTTTTCAGGTCCTCTGCTTGTTTTCCAGCCAGACTATTTCTTTCCTCGGTATTGCACTCTCAGAGCTCCTTGAATGTTTTAACAATAATGAATATCATGTGTGTTTTGTATCTGAGGCTTTTTTGGCCTATCACATAATTTCAGTAAAATAAGGGTGCTGCAGTTGGATTGTAGGAGGAGGAAATAAAGGTTGAGACAGCACGGGGGAGAGCAAAGGCTCAAGGGCCAGCCCAGGCCCGGCCCCACAGGCCTCGAGCTGGGGCTTCTGAGAGAGATACCCGGAGGCTGTGTGGGCAGTGGGCACCGAGGGGCCTGTGTGGGCTCTTTAGGCAGGGAAAGCGGCATTCACTAAACCCGAATGAGCTGGAATTGCAGCACCAGGGCAGGGAAGGGACACCCTCCAGGCAGTGGGGACAGTATGCACAGTGGGCGGCACAAGCCCAGAGCACATCCAGGAGCTGCCACGAGGGAGAGGAAGTGGGCAGAGGGTGAGAGGCAGCTGGGCACGTGGACGCTGTCTGCAGCTGGACCATCGTGGGAGCCCAGGACAAGGGCTGGGCAGAGGGCTGCCGCTGGTCCTGAGAGACAAGTGACCATCTTGGAAGGGGACACAGCTGGTGACAGTGCTGGAGCCTGTGACTGTGGTCCCACAGAGTCAGAATGCTCCAAACCCATAAGACAGGGGGTCAGGGTGGAGCAGGGCAACAGGCTTGGAGGGGCAGGTGTGGGGTCACTGAACGGCATGGGGCATCTGGGCAACATTAGCGACAGACAGCAGTTTCTGACCAGCGGGAACACGCTGAGGAAGGCTTGCGTTGTTGCCTTCAGATGGAGGTGGCCCTCAGGTGCCTGGGTTTGAGCCACAGGGAGGGCCTCCAGTGAGGAGTCCAGGAGACCAGCAGGCATCATAGGTCTGCAGCAGCTTCCCACTCATGCAGGGGGATGGAGCTGGGCGCTGATGTGGGCGCATGGCAGCCTGCTGTGGCCCTCAGGAGGATAGTACAGTGCACAACGTTAAGCACACCGCAGATATAACTGTATAGACACGAGTGAGCCAGGGAGAATAGCACAGCTCCTGGGAAAGTGCTCCCTGGCTCAGGGAGAAGGGAGGCGAGCAGGCGTGACTAAAGCCAGGCATGGCGGCACAGCACCCAGGAAGCTGAGGCAGGAAGCTCACCATGAGGTGAGGCCACGCTGGGCTCCACAGTGATTTCAAGGCCAGAATGGGCTACCTGGTGATATCCTGTTTCAAAACAAAACAGACTCAAGTTATAGGCTGCAGGGGCAGCCTCATGGAAAGGGCTGTGCCGCCTAAAAACAAAAACAAAATGCAAGTGAGCCATCCGGGAAGGACAGAGCCTGGAGAGTGAGTGTGGCATCCCAAAAGCAAGGAAGCCAGTATCCAAGGACACAGCTTCCGGGGCCCTGCCCAGGGACAGGAGCAGTGACTGGGGCACATCCTTCACAACACTGACCACGAAGGGAGGAACCACAGTCCAGAAGCCAGTATCCAAGGACACAGCTTCCGGGGCCCTGCCCAGGGACAGGAGCAGCGACTGGGGCGCATCCTCCACAACACTGACCACGAAGGGAGGAACCACAGTCCAGAAGCCAGTATCCAAGGACACAGCTTCCGGGGCCCTGCCCAGGGACAGGAGCAGCGACTGGGGCGCATCCTCCACAACACTGACCAAGAAGGGAGGAACCACAGTCCAGAAGCCAGTATCCAAGGACACAGCTTCCGGGGCCCTGCCCAGGGACAGGAGCAGCGACTGGGGCGCATCCTTCACAATACTGACCACGAAGGGAGGAACCACAGTCCAGAAGCCAGTATCCAAGGACACAGCTTCCGGGGCCCTGCCCAGGGACAGGAGCAGCGACTGGGGCGCATCCTCCACAACACTGACCAAGAAGGGAGGAACCACAGTCCAGAAGCCAGTATCCAAGGACACAGCTTCCGGGGCCCTGCCCAGGGACAGGAGCAGCGACTGGGGCGCATCCTTCACAATACTGACCACGAAGGGAGGAACCACAGTCCAGAAGCCAGTATCCAAGGACACAGCTTCCGGGGCCCTGCCCAGGGACAGGAGCAGCGACTGGGGCGCATCCTTCACAATACTGACCACGAAGGGAGGAACCACAGTCCAGAAGCCAGTATCCAAGGACACAGCTTCCGGGGCCCTGCCCAGGGACAGGAGCAGCGACTGGGGCGCATCCTCCACAACACTGACCACGAAGGGAGGAACCACAGTCCAGAAGCCAGTATCCAAGGACACAGCTTCCGGGGCCCTGCCCAGGGACAGGAGCAGCGACTGGGGCGCATCCTCCACAACACTGACCACGAAGGGAGGAACCACAGTCCAGAAGCCAGTATCCAAGGACACAGCTTCCGGGGCCCTGCCCAGGGACAGGAGCAGCGACTGGGGCGCATCCTCCACAACACTGACCACGAAGGGAGGAACCACAGTCCAGAAGCCAGTATCCAAGGACACAGCTTCCGGGGCCCTGCCCAGGGACAGGAGCAGTGACTGGGGCGCATCCTCCACAACACTGACCACGAAGGGAGGAACCACAGTCCAGAAGCCAGTATCCAAGGACACAGCTTCCGGGGCCCTGCCCAGGGACAGGAGCAGCGACTGGGGCGCATCCTCCACAACACTGACCACGAAGGGAGGAACCACAGTCCAGAAGCCAGTATCCAAGGACACAGCTTCCAGGGCCCTGCCCAGGGACAGGAGCAGCGACTGGGGCGCATCCTCCACAACACTGACCACGAAGGGAGGAACCACAGTCCAGAAGCCAGTATCCAAGGACACAGCTTCCGGGGCCCTGCCCAGGGACAGGAGCAGCGACTGGGGCGCATCCTCCACAACACTGACCACGAAGGGAGGAACCACAGTCCAGAAGCCAGTATCCAAGGACACAGCTTCCAGGGCCCTGCCCAGGGACAGGAGCAGTGACTGGGGCACATCCTTCACAACACTGACCACGAAGGGAGGAACCACAGTCCAGAAGCCAGTATCCAAGGACACAGCTTCCAGGGCCCTGCCCAGGGACAGGAGCAGCGACTGGGGCGCATCCTCCACAACACTGACCACGAAGGGAGGAACCACAGTCCAGAAGCCAGTATCCAAGGACACAGCTTCCGGGGCCCTGCCCAGGGACAGGAGCAGCGACTGGGGCGCATCCTCCACAACACTGACCACGAAGGGAGGAACCACAGTCCAGAAGCCAGTATCCAAGGACACAGCTTCCGGGGCCCTGCCCAGGGACAGGAGCAGCGACTGGGGCGCATCCTCCACAACACTGACCACGAAGGGAGGAACCACAGTCCAGAAGCCAGTATCCAAGGACACAGCTTCCGGGGCCCTGCCCAGGGACAGGAGCAGTGACTGGGGCACATCCTTCACAACACTGACCACGAAGGGAGGAACCACAGTCCAGAAGCCAGTATCCAAGGACACAGCTTCCAGGGCCCTGCCCAGGGACAGGAGCAGCGACTGGGGCGCATCCTCCACAACACTGACCACGAAGGGAGGAACCACAGTCCAGAAGCCAGTATCCAAGGACACAGCTTCCGGGTCCCTGCCCAGGGACAGGAGCAGCGACTGGGGCGCATCCTCCACAACACTGACCACGAAGGGAGGAACCACAGTCCAGAAGCCAGTATCCAAGGACACAGCTTCCGGGGCCCTGCCCAGGGACAGGAGCAGTGACTGGGGCACATCCTTCACAACACTGACCACGAAGGGAGGAACCACAGTCCAGAAGCCAGTATCCAAGGACACAGCTTCCGGGGCCCTGCCCAGGGACAGGAGCAGTGACTGGGGCACATCCTTCACAACACTGACCACGAAGGGAGGAACCACAGTCCAGAAGCCAGTATCCAAGGACACAGCTTCCGGGGCCCTGCCCAGGGACAGGAGCAGCGACTGGGGCGCATCCTCCACAACACTGACCACGAAGGGAGGAACCACAGTCCAGAAGCCAGTATCCAAGGACACAGCTTCCAGGGCCCTGCCCAGGGACAGGAGCAGCGACTGGGGCGCATCCTCCACAACACTGACCACGAAGGGAGGAACCACAGTCCAGAAGCCAGTATCCAAGGACACAGCTTCCAGGGCCCTGCCCAGGGACAGGAGCAGCGACTGGGGCGCATCCTCCACAACACTGACCACGAAGGGAGGAACCACAGTCCAGAAGCCAGTATCCAAGGACACAGCTTCCAGGGCCCTGCCCAGGGACAGGAGCAGTGACTGGGGCACATCCTTCACAACACTGACCACGAAGGGAGGAACCACAGTCCAGAAGCCAGTATCCAAGGACACAGCTTCCAGGGCCCTGCCCAGGGACAGGAGCAGCGACTGGGGCGCATCCTCCACAACACTGACCACGAAGGGAGGAACCACAGTCCAGAAGCCAGTATCCAAGGACACAGCTTCCGGGGCCCTGCCCAGGGACAGGAGCAGCGACTGGGGCGCATCCTCCACAACACTGACCACGAAGGGAGGAACCACAGTCCAGAAGCCAGTATCCAAGGACACAGCTTCCGGGGCCCTGCCCAGGGACAGGAGCAGCGACTGGGGCGCATCCTCCACAACACTGACCACGAAGGGAGGAACCACAGTCCAGAAGCCAGTATCCAAGGACACAGCTTCCAGGGCCCTGCCCAGGGACAGGAGCAGCGACTGGGGCGCATCCTCCACAACACTGACCACGAAGGGAGGAACCACAGTCCAGAAGCCAGTATCCAAGGACACAGCTTCCGGGGCCCTGCCCAGGGACAGGAGCAGTGACTGGGGCGCATCCTCCACAACACTGACCACGAAGGGAGGAACCACAGTCCAGAAGCCAGTATCCAAGGACACAGCTTCCAGGGCCCTGCCCAGGGACAGGAGCAGTGACTGGGGCGCATCCTCCACAACACTGACCACGAAGGGAGGAACCACAGTCCAGAAGAGCAGGAAATGACACAGGGTGCAAGGAAGGTCACCCTTCCCTTGTGACAGAACAGCCCTGAGCATCCACAAGGTTCCTAGAGTGCACTGGGGAGATCTCGGACTGCAGACCCTGGAAAGGGTGCGAGCCGGATGGGGCTGGGCTCTCTGAGGTGGGAGTGGAGTGCACGGCAGACACTGATGCTCTGCCCTAGTGCCTCGTTTCAAACTGAGCTAAGGGGCAGGCAGGCGAGGCTGCCGGCCAGGGCTCTCAGTGCACTGACAGGACTGAGCACCAGTCAGGCTGCCATAGCCACAAGCCATGGCAGACCACATGCAGGGAGCAGCGCAGAGAGGAGAACTCATGTTGATTCCTCGCTGAAGTTCCGGCAGAAACTGTCCTGGTCACAGCAGAGTCTGGGGCCAAAGTGTCCTGGATTAGGGCCCAACTGTGCACTCAGCAGCTCTGTGATCTCACTCCAGGTGCTGGGTCAGTTCTCCCACCTACAGAGGAGCTACTTGGGGCTCAAAGGCTTTGTGGGGGCCTGAGGTTAAACTAGAATATATATGTGCAATTACACGCACGTTTGACATAAAACCGCTCTGTGTGAATATTATCTGTGTGTTCCCCACCTATACCGAGTGCAGGGAGTGGGAAGTCCGCAAATGGCAGAGTTCGCAGCAGTAACATTGCACCTTTCATGATGAAATCAATCCTCAACAAATCAACTTATAATTACACAAATTATACAATTTACCATGAGGTAGACGCAGGGGAAAGAGCGCTTCAGTACTTTTAATTAAATTACCTGGAATTTGATCTGCAGGATTATATTATTTATGTTGCAAATCAAAGTCATGTAGGTCTTTGCCAACATGCATATCGTATCACTCATGCCAAGAAATATAAAACTCCAGTGTGACTGATTGTGCAATTAACTTATTTGGTCATTAAGGAAAAACTACCCCACATATTTAGGAACTATAGCAGAAACCCTACGCTGCACATGGATGAGACATGTTGAGTGCCCTGTAGGAATTTTTATGTGTTAAGTCAAGAAAATATATTGCAGAAACATTGTTGCAAGGAGATTAACCAAAAAAAGTTTGTTTTTTCTTATTTCCTTCTCTAGCAGAGCTAAACAAATGGCAAGCCAAATGCTTCTGTTCTATTCTTTCTTCAGTTCGGGATTCACTATCCTCTATGTTCCTTTGTCAAAACAGAAAAAAGCCCCATTGGTTCTGAGGGCAGGCATGCCCTTAGCAACCCCACTTGAAACCTGTGTTCCTCCCTCTCCAATTCAAG